TGTAACAATTTAAAGTGTATCCAGATAAGAAGTCTTTACGGTTATCTATGTCACAATTTAAGGTGTATCCAGATAAGAAGTCTTTACGGTTATCTATGTCACAATTTAAGGTGTATCCAGATAAGAAGTCTATACGGTTATCTGTGTAACAATTTAAGGTGTATCCAGATAAGAAGTCTTTACGGTTATCTGTGTAACAATTTAAGGTGTATCCAGATAAGAAGTGTTTACGGATATCTGTGTAACAATTTAAGGTGTATCCCGATAAGAAGTCTATACGGTTATCTGTGTAACAATTTAAGGTGTATCCCGATAAGAAGTCTATACGGTTATCTGTGTAACAATTTAAGGTGTGTCCCGATAAGAAGTCTTTATGGTTATCTACGTAACAATTTAAGGTGTATTCCGATAAGAAGTCTATACGGTTATCTGTGTAACAATTTAAGGTGTATCCAGATAAGAAGTCTTTACGGTTATCTACGTAACAATTTAAGGTGTATTCCGATAAGAAGTCTTTACGGATATCTGTGAATATAACCCTTTCCTTATCGACCATGTTCATACGAGTCATATAAATTCAATTTTTATTTTACTTATTTAGGTAGAAAATAGTTAGATTTCTATGCATATTAATATACAAGTTTTATTAACTAGAATTAGGTGTCCTTTACAGTTATTTACAGCTGCTGAAAGTAATAAATATTGAGACGTTTATTTTAGTCACGTTCATCCAATCTACTGGCGTATTCTGTTACGGGTTTGATGAAAGTTTTATACACTTGTATTACGTTATCTGCAGACATTCGGCTTCTCACGTTGTTTACTATCCTCCAACGTTTGTTTTCAAAGTTTTTATTTCACTAGTCCAGGAGAGTTTTGAAGTACATGTGAAACCGAGAAAATCATCCGAGGTAGAAAGGTATCGTTGAAGGTATGATTTAAAGGTATCGTTGAAGGTATGATTTAAAGGTATCGTTGAAGGTATGATTCAAAGGTATCGTTGAAGGTATGATTTTGGTGGATGTTTGATGATTATTTTGTTATTTATTTTAATACAAGCTGAGGTTCCCGTTCTTTGACCGGGTTATGAACTTAAAAAAACTGTGTGGGTGGATGTTATGATAAGTAACACAATCCTGACTTTCCCACAATTTATTTATAAAATAACAGTATTCATTATTACCTCACCAAAAATTTTGTTTAAGCTTTAAGAACTCAATATGTATATGCTTAAAACATGGTACATGTATACACTGTGTGATAGTCAGGGTGACTTTGTAGGAAGAGGTAGCAGAAAAGTAGTAGCGGTAGGTGTGCTTTCTGTTACCCGCTTTCAACACCTACCTCCTAATGTCCTTCCACTGTATTTCACGAGGTTAATTATTTGACGGTCATTGGCCGTAGAAGTGTCTTACGGGCCGAAGTTGAAAGGTCACGGGTCAAAGTAGGAAGTGGATATAACTCAAGAAACGGCTCTTCATATCAAATTTATGACTATAGTTATCGTTAACTTGCATGAAATATAATAAATGCTCAATAAAAGCAATAATTGGAGTTGTTGGGGGTCGTGAACTTTCATTACAATTCCCTTTGTTTCACACTATTATTTCACAAAGTCTGGTTGAGATTGGCTCAGCGACCTAGGAGTAGTTAGATAACGGACAGACACATAGATTTTTTTAATGTATGTAGGTGCCATTTATTGCATTAAACATCTACTGATTTTAAAAGCGATTGCAGATTTGTGTATTATATTATTGTGATGTTCTCCCTATTAATCGACATGGCCTTAGCTCGTGGTGGAGTCGATTGTATGCGCATGCAGTGAGTTGGGGTGAAGATGGAAGGCGTAAGTTCTGTAAATATCCCCTTAATGTTGGTCCAGCTTCACTGGCCTCCAGTGTAATCCAAAATGAGAGAAATTGACAATATATATATATATATATAAATAGAACAAGTGTTCACTTATTAACCTACTTCAATGAAATTGTTTAAAAATAGAGGGAAAAGAAGTAATCTTACAAGCTTATGGTTATTAGTCACTGTATTGTACTATTCAATTTAGATTTTTTTTATTCAAACCTGAATTCATGCAAATGACAAGAATTCAACATTTAGTTGCAGATAAGTTATTCTTGGAAAGATTTGGCTAGTTGTGTAATGATTTCTGTATGATTTTGTATGTTTATCCCTTCCTTGTTTCTGTACTTTTTTTGGCATTGCCATCCCTACACCATACTTATTTTTAATTTTTTTTATTACTTGTAGTTTGTAGA